AACCTGAAAACATGCAAAGAGAAAGAAATCAGACACAGAAGGCTACATAGTATATGATTAAATTTATGTGACATGCCCAGAATAGGTAAATCCTAGAGACAGAACTTAGATTAGTGGTTGTGCATGGGGAGTGACTTTTGATGGTTATGAGATATCTTTTTGGCATGATGGGGTGATGAAATGTTCTGAAATTGGATAGTCATGAAATGGAAAGGTTGCACAACTCTGTGAATATAAAAATCACTGAATTACACACTTTAAAAGGGTTATTTTTATCATGTGAATTACATCTCAAAAGAGATATTAGTTAAGACAATTTTTTGACCTACTGTTCTGGTCTAGGCTTTCCAAAAAACAGTTTCAGATAAAGGGTTTCTGTATTACTTCTTTCTCAGGGAACAGGGGTGAGGGGCAAGAGGACGAAGCAGAGAAGAGTGGACAGCACCAGTCAGGATGCTTACTGAGTTGATTTCAGCTAAATACACCTCTGTGCTTGATTCTATGAGACTATTCACCAAGAAGATGCCTAACTGTTCAGGACAGACCATCTGCAGAGCAGATGGGAAGCCTATATACCCTGACTCCCATCTCTCCTGGTCAAAGAGGAGCACTGACTCCCCTACACTTCTGGATTATAAGTGTGTGGGCGTCACATAGGCTGGTCCGTATCTTCCCTAGGTGTTAAACATAAAGTCCGTGGATGGGAAGTAGGAGGTGCCTGGTGACGGAATGAGACAAGCACCCTCATTTTATACCAGCTTAATGTAGTTTGGAACCTATACAAAGCTGATTCCTGAAGGAACAGAAAGTCTATGAGCATCCGTGTCTGATAAAGATAGTCATTAAATATCCGAGTGAGTAGGTCACATAGGTGTCCTCTTCCATATTTCTTCCTCATAGATACTATTGTGTTGATTCCTTTTCTCTTTGCTTAAAATTGAATATATACTGTAATAAGTAAAATGAAATTTGGTATAAGACCTCATTTCTTTTTTTCGCAAATCAATTGGCATTGAGGGATTTTTGTTGTAAAACTAACATTTATGACAACCGTGCCCTAAATTAGATTACAAAGTGACCAGGAAGACAGGGAGGAAAGGAAAGAAAGAAAAAAATTAAAAGTATCAAGTCATCTATAACCCCATTCAGATTGATGGTGAATGAATTGCACTGAAAGCTGTATATTTAAAATTGCCCAGTATCAGAACCACTTTAAATTATACTGCCTTATAACCAAAATAAAATAGTGAACTATGCTATTTTAATTATGTGATACTAAAGTTACGTCAGTCTTAAAAAGCCCCTTTCTATTTCTGTGTTCATCTTATTTTCTAAATTGTGGGAGATGTGTTTAAAAACATTAAAATATGTTTTACAAATTTTTTAGTGTGTGGCAGAAATAGAAACTGCGGAAGTCATTAACGCTGTCCTGCGTATCACGGATTTCCTGCTTCCGGTAGGTAGCATTGTTCTCCAGGAACCCAGGAGCGAGCATTGTTCTCCAGGAACCCAGGAGCGAGCTGGGGTTGTGGAGCTTTACAGAATGGGAAGAATGTGAAGACAACCATGACGTCTGGTGGAAGTCTTTGGGAACTGACACGTGGTTTGCCACTTTCCTGTCCCCTATCAGCAGTATTTTAGATTATGAAGGCTCTGTCAGCTCACAGCTGTGAATGAGAATGATGTCTCTCCAAGACGCCCACCAACCGGATGTGCACTGTGGGCATGGAATAAGCCTCTGATCTTAACAAGCATTGACATTTGGGGTGGTTTGTTATAGCAGCAAAACTAGCCTTTCTTTATTGATGTGTTCTGCAAGAAAATAACAAAGTGATCTCAGGCACTTAATAAGCTGAAGCCCTTTCAAGTATTAATGACATATCAAAGGCAGTTCAGCAAAGTGGTTAAAAGCAAGGAGCTTGATTCTGCTTATTAGCCCTGTGACAGTGAACAATTTATTTAAACTCTCTGGCCTCAGTGTTCTTATGAAATATCACAATACCCACATCATAAGATCACTGTAAAAAATAAATGAATTGATGTTTGCTAAGTGCTTAGAAAAGTGCATAGTAAGTCCTGTCACTATGTACAGTGATAAAACATATAAATTAAATTGTACGTGTGAAGTGTTCAGAACAGAACCTAGCACAGAGTAAGCCCTCTGTGAATATTGATTATTACTAATATTTAGAATAAAAACAATAATGACCAAATACTTAGCTGGGAATTTTCTCTGGGGAAAACAAGCCAAAGGGGAAGGGGTGGGAACCAGTTCATGGTTCAGCTCTGGTGGGTTTTTCCTCTGGGGAGATGCCTGGATATGCCGCTGTTACTTCCCTTTCTATTCAGGTATGTTCTGAGAAAAGAAACAGAACACAGGGGAAAGGAAAAGACAAACGAAGGCTTTTTCTTTAATTTCTCTGTCACCCAGAGCAAAAGGAAACAGGGCACCTGTGACTGGCACCGAACACGCCTGTCCACGGGAGATAAGCAGCTCTGGGCGATTTCACAGAGCCAAACAAAGACAAATTCCTTGAAATCTCATGAAAGACTGGTTCAGAATTTATCAGGCAGATTTATTCATGAGAATCCCCTGAGATTCTTATTAAAAATATTGATTTCTAGAATCTCACGGTGAGAGTAGGAAAGGATTGCTCTAGAAATCCAAATTTCAAACAAGATCTTCCAACATTTTTTTTGCCCACTGGTTATTGAGAACCTGGGCCATGTGGGTCCTGAGGTGCTGACGGAGTACCTAAAGTACCACTGCCACCAGGTGGCAGTAGATCCAAATTACAGGTTCTAAAGGCATTGGAGGGAGAGTCAGCAGTTCAATTTTTCCAGCAAGCACCCAACTGTCGCGTTAAAATGAGGGCAGTCACCTCACAGACACAGTTCAAGTTTTCTGGACTAGCTGATGTAGAGTTTATATAATTTGGACCCTTGAAAGCACAGCTTTGCATCATTTTAATTCATTCCTTTTGTTAAAAACTTAATTTGAAAATAGACCTTATCTTTTGAGTCTCTCCAACTATAAAATCTCACAACATGTAATCATTTTGTAGAGTAAAAGAAACCATGGAAAATGATCTGTAAAAAGTTCTTCTTTTTTTAAGTTTTAAATTCTAGTTCGTCAACATACAGTGTAATATTAGTTTCAGGTGTACAATATAGTGATTCAACACTTCCATATAAACCCAGTGCTCATCACAAGTGCCCTTCTTAATCCCCATCACCAATTTCTTCCATAAACCCCTGCCCCCCCCACCTCCCCACTGGTAGCCATCCATTTCTTCTCTATAGTTAGGAAGCTGTTTTTTGTTTGCCTCTCTTTTTTTTTTCTCCCCCTTTTTTCACCTGTTTTGTTTCTTAAATTCCACATACGAGTGAGATCATACGGCATTTGTTTTTGATGACTTATTTTGCTTAGCAGTATACCCTCTAGCTCCATCCATGTCATTGCATGTAAAAAGTTCTTCTATCAAAGAAATTGAGGGGCACCTGGGTGGCCCAGTGGGTTAAGCCTCTGCCTTCTGCTCAGGTCATGATCTCAGGGTCCTGGGATCGAGCCCCGCATCAGTTTCTATGCCTGCTTCCCCGTCTCTCTCTCTGCCTGCCTCTCTGCCTACTTGTGATCCCTGTCAAATAAATAAATAAAATATTTAAAAAAAAGAAATTGAGAAAAGCGACATCTTAACAGAGAGAGAGAGAGAGAGAGATGTCTGACTGAAATAATTAATTTTGCCTGTTGGACTCTATGATCATCCATTAAGGAGAGAATAAGTAAAAAGAGTTGATATCGATGACATTTTCTTTTTTTACTTTCAGAAAATCCACACCCTTCTTCTACCACAAAACAAGACTATTTTTTAAACGTTTGAATTGGAATAGACTTAGCTTTGCCAAGCTCAGATTCTTTCTGAGAAATGGTCACACAGGGCAAAATGTGAGCAAAAAAAAGTGTTGCATCCTTAAATATAACTGGCATTTCCTAATAGATCACAGCATCCAAGCTTGTTTTACTAGGAGTCAGTAAGAAGCCAGCACGGTACAATGTGACTTTGAAATTAAGGATCATTCCACTCACCCCCCAGCATAGCAACTCCACAAGTCAGTTTGGCAGTCAGTGTTCAAGATGATTTACAACAAAGATTGTATGCTCTCCATGGGGGAAAAAATGCATTAACAAGGAAGATGCTCATAAATGAAATCCATGAAAATTACCAGTAGATGATCCACAGACAGTGACCTAAAAAAAAAAAAAAAAAAAAAAAGGATTCTATTATTTGGTGTCTCTGCAGCCTCTGTAATAAAACTTATTCCGATGGATACATGTAGCAATGTTTTAAAAATGAAAAACTAAAAAAAACAAAACTCTTGAGGTGAAATTCACATAGAATAAAATGAACCACCTTAAAGTGAACAACGCTGGGGTGTTTACTACATTACATTTATAGTATTTTGCCATCACCCCCTCTAGTTCCAAATAATTTTCTTTGCTCCAAAAGAAACTTCACACCCACGAGCAGGCGGTTTACCCACGTTTTTAAACAGCATAGGGAGAGAATTTCAAGACTGTGTAGAAGTGTTCACATGGCTGCCAAAGCTTTTTTAGTCTAGCTCTGTCTTGGGAGGAGTTTATCATCAGAGGATTTAAAGAGTCTCACATGATGCAATCGAAGGGTAGTTAAACGATGGGGCACTGATGAAAAGAATTCAATTGTCTCTTAAGGATGGCCTTGGTTTTGAAGACACAGCACATTCCTTTGCAAATAGAAAAGCCAACAAAAATGTGGGCTATGAGTCTGTGGGTTCCTTTACGCGCATTTTATTACCAAATAAGAGACTTATTTATGCAAATGAATGGAAAGATATTTAGACAACTGTGTCATGCCCACCAGCTGGAGGTATAAAAAGCCTTCTGCAGGAGGAGACCAGCATTCACACTTGGGTAACTCGCTCTTCCCCATCCATCCCATTCCTCCTCAACTCCTGCCACCATGACTCGTTTCTTCTGCTGCGGAAGCTACTTCCCCGGCTATCCTTGCTATGGAACCAACTTCCACAGGACCTTCAGAGCCACCCCCTTGAACTGCGTCATTCCCCTGGGCTCTCCCCTGAACTACGGTTATGGATGCAATGGCTACGGCTCCCTGGGCTACAGCTTTGGCGGTAGCAACATGTACAACAGGGGCTGTTGCTATGGCGGCAGCTTCTGCAGGCCATGGGGCTCGAACTCTGGCTTCGGCTACAGTACTTACTGAAGGACCCGTGGCTCCAGGCAGTGCAGAACTCCTCATCGATTCTCTGTGTGCGAACCAACCTGTAGAGCAACGACTGTCTTCCTGTCTCCAGATGCATGAGGGAGATACATCTTCCATCTTCTTCCTGACTTCTTACTGAGTTCCTGGTCTTTGACGATGCCGAACAAGCCATCCAGGCATCCAATACTGAACTGATACTCACCTACAGCCAAGGAGAGCAAGATGTATTTCTCCGACATACCTAAATTTTAGCCGTGAAGCAAGTAGATTGCTTCTTCTAGCTGCTCTGCTCCTGTGTTACTAAATTCTGCATCGGCATCAATGTATTACAACTGGGTGTGGGTAGAAAGGGGTTTTGCTGTCAGTCTCTTAATAAATCTATTTCATTCAGCACACACATGTTTTTGTTCCTGTTATTTATTTTACCCTGCTTTTATGCTTTTGAATTCATCAGCCAGTTTCAACCTATAGTGGCTGGCTTTAACCAAAACTTAATTTTGAGTTCAGACTGTACACCAGGATAGGGCGATGCCTCATTATTTTGTCGTTTAATGTTGAGATTTCAATTTTTAAAAAGGTCTTAAAAGGGTTCTAAATTAAATCCAAAATATACTGCCATTGTCAGTGTTTTTCTATGCTGACTGTAAGTAGGAACATTTCTTAGCTGTTGAATGCTCAAAAAATTTCTTTCCTTCTTTCATTAGTGACACCATCTCATTTAGTTTCTTTCCCCTTTTCCCTGCTGTTTACGGAACTCGGATCTAGAGAAGTTTGAACCACTCAGTCTGCTGAAAGAATTTCAGCTAAATGGACTTAGTTATGAATCTTTGTTTTTAGGAGTTTCTAAGATTTGGTGTATAAAGGGAAGCCAACAGCTAAAAATCATATAATATTTTTTTCCTTTTTGATAGATGAGTTTTATTTTTCCCATCCACTTCGCTTCACTTCTGATTATATATATATATATATATATATATATATATATATATAGCTGTATTAAAAATGAAGCATTTATTCTTTAGAATGATAGTTGCCATCAAAAGCCCTTGAAATGATATGTGGTCTATACTTAGAAAATGCTTCTTGTCTTCCCTCCTGAAAAATCTTTGCTTTATTGAAGCAAAATACTTTGTTTGAATGAAAGCTTATTCATTCACATATCAAGTATTTTTGGCACCCCCAGCCTCTCTCAGAGAAGGTGCTCAATAATTGTTCATTGACTTGTTAAATCTCTGCTTCATGGGTGCAAAATATTGTATAATTCAATATAACGTTCACTCATGTATGCATGAAATACTACTGGGCTCGCCACTGTGTTAAGAGTTTTGGGGACTATGAAAACCACCTAAGATAGAGACTGGCCTGAGAAGCTGACTGTTTTCAAGAGAGGCTCACTTAATAGACATTTGCCAAGTAGACACAATATCAATGATTGTCCTAAGACTTAGGGGACATAGAGACAAATAAAACATAATCTTTGCCCTGAAGACTTAAATATACTTTATTCAATATATAAAGGAAACTAAATAGTCTCCTATTTTACACCAATAAATGTGCTATAAATGATTATCCAAATATAAACAGATATTCTTTATTCATTTCCTTCCAAGGACTTAAAATAGGAGACAGCCTGTGATAAAAGGCATATATATATGTGTGTGTATATATATATATATACATATATATATATGACACTTAGCTTAAGATCAAGGAAAGCATAATTATTAAAATGAAAAATTAATATTGATATTCATATTAATATTTTATAATATTAATATAATATTATTATTTAATTACAGTACATACTCTAATTTTTTCAATGGCTGTAATAATGTCCTTTGGAGTTATTATTTGCCCTTGTCCATATAAACATAGCATAAACCGTGTAAGCTTTCATAGAAGGAAAGTTTGGGTATATAAACATGACCATGAGAGAGGTGACTTAAGAGTTATATATCGAGACAAATAACAGGTATGCAAAAAGGAATAAGAATGGGGCTATCTGGAGGTGAAGTGGGCTTTCACTGGCGAAGTTCCAGCATATAGGTAGACTGATCTACTGGTGGGGAGATTCCAAGAGCATCAGGTACTAAATGGATGATTTGGGATCTCTACCAACCATAAGATTCTAGATCCTTATCATCATGGCTAACATTTACCTAAAGCATAATTGTTCTAAAACCATAATTGTTTTTGTGTTTTGCTCTTACATTTTTAAAATTTTTATTTCGACATAATTTCAGATTCACAGAAAAGTTGCCATGACAGTGCAAGGAAGTTCTGCGTGCCTGGATTTACTAAATGTTTATACCTTGCCCCACTTACTTCATTACTACATGTAATATAATATACATACAGTACTGTGTGTGTGTAATATATATAATATTTAGAGTAGCAAACCCACTTCAGAATATATTTCAGGTACCATGTTGATTTGTCCTTAGAACAAAGGCAGAATAATCATGAAAATTAGAAAATTTAATATTAATTCTGTTATCTAATCAACACTCTGTAGTTAATTATCCCAATTTGTCCCTAGTAGTTATTTTTCCCCTTGTCCCTGTAGAATCTGAGCCAGTATCATGTGTGTGTCTCCTTAAATTCTCCTTAAATTCTTTAATCTACCTCAGTTCCTCAGCCTTTCTCTGTCTTTCTTGACCTCAACCAATTTGAAGGATGTTGATTACTTAACAGAATGTCCCATGGTTTTGGTTTGTCTGACTTTCCTCGTGATTCGGTTTATGTTAAACATCTTCGGCAGAAGTAATGCTCTGTTCTCCTTGGTGCATCTTATCAGGAGTCACATGATGTTGGTTTATGCAAATTTGTTATAAATTTTGACCACTTGGTAAAAGTCGGATCTTTCACGCTTCTTCACTTTGTTTGTCATTAGGAATTATTGCGTTGATCCTCTGACACTATGTAAGCATACTATCGCTTAAAAGCTTTTTACCCACTCATTTTAGGATCCATCTGCGACTTTCTGATTTTATACATCCTTCTACTATTTATTAGTTGGCACTCAACCATAAGAAAGAATTTTCTTTCCCCATTTAGTTTTTTTTTGTGCTTATTTATTTGTATCAGTATTTATATCAACATAAGCTTGTGGATTCTTCTTTTACTCAATATGTTATAATCTGTTAATGTTATTTTTTAATTTTGATGCTCAGATTGCCCCAGCTTTGGACAGTGGGAAAACCTTTACAGAAGCTCCTAAGTTCTTTAGAAATGGCCCAATCAGTATTTGATCAATTCTTTAATTTCTGGCTCAACAGAATGTTCCAGGCTCATCTTGAACTTCTCTGCTCCAGTCATGGAATCAGTGATTTCTCCTGGCCTCTAGATCCCTTAAGGGAAGACTGCAATTTAGAAACTATTGTTGCTATATATGCTCATTTATACCTTATCATTGCTAGGACTGTCAATCATCCCTTCAGGTTTAATAATGATACAGTAAGAAGATGTGCTGGAGCTCTGCATATGGGGGGAAGGTCACAAAGGATTCATTTAGGGTAAAAGAGGAACTGGCTGGCCTTTAGGCTGGCAGTGGGGGAGGGAGGGTGGTGTCCCCAAATGCCAGAGCATAAAGGTCATCTGTTCTTTTTTTTTTTTTTTTAATTTAAGGTTTTATTTGTTTGACAGAGAGAGAGAGAGACAGGGAGAGCAGGAACACAAGCAGGGGGAGTGGGAGAGGGAAAAGCAGGCTTCCCGCTGAGTGGGGAGCCTGATGCAGGGCTTAATCCTGGGACCCTGGGACCATGACCTGAGCTAAAGGCAGATGCTTAATGCCTGAGCCACCCAGGTGCCCCAAGGTCATTTGTTCTAAAGTTTAAGTGACCATTATGGTTGCCTGCTGATTGAACACTTCTGTTCTTCAACTAGAATTTCACTTAACCACCCTATCTCTGTTTTAGGCCCAATCTTTATATTTTTCTATGTGCAGCAATCCTGGTTCTCTCTGGGAATTTGAAGGGGAATAACAGCTTTCTCTTTGCATATAGCCCCCTTTTCATGACCTTTGCTATGGTTTCCCCTTTCTTTCTGTTTTCTTTCCATCTCCTTCCCATCATCCAGATATTCAGTTAATCCCTCCTCAATCTGTATTGTTCCTACAATTCTGTCATTGTTGGCTTCCACCTTTTGTTATAATTGAATGCATTCTGGAGGGTGGGGGGGATATGTGTTTGGTCTGTCTGCGATCTTTTTTTTTTTTTTTTTAATATTTATTTATTTTTGAGGGGTGGGAGGGGCAGAGGGAGGGAGAAATTCAAACAGACTCCCTGCTGGACATGGAGTTCCACTCAGGGCTTGATCTCATGACCCTCAGTTCATACCTGAGCCTAAACCAAGAGTCGAATGCTTAACCTGCTGTGCCACTCAGGTGGCCCCATCTGCCATCTTGAAGCTAAAAAGTGTAAATACCTTAAAAAGCCCAAGAAGGGATTAAGTATAACAGTGTGTCTCCTTTCCTCCTACAGTAATGATGTGACAGGCACAACAATAATTTAATTTCAATATTTATTTGCATGACAATTTTTTTGAGGTTGGCTTCATTACCTACCCATGTTACTGAAGAGAAAGCTGATATTAAAAAGTTAAATAGTTTGAGCTTTCACATCCATTTGTAAAGAAAACATGCCAAGATAAAGCCAAGGAGTGTCTGACTCCAAATCCATCCCTCCACTCTAAAATGAGTTACACAGCACTTTCAGAGTTATAAAACTCTTTCCCAGAACTATTCCTGCTTAATGTCACTTCTTATGCCATCAGCAATTATGCCTTATATTTACATAGTGATTTACAGTTCACAAAATACTTCCATAGAATCTTATTTAATTCTTTTTTTATTGAGATGTAATTGACAACACTATATTAGTCTCAGCTGCACAACATAATGGTTTGATATTTATATATATTATAATCACCACAGTGTCTAGTTAACATCCATCACCATACAGTTATAAATATTTTTTGTTGTGGTGAGAACTTTAAAGAAT